ATAGAAATTTCACGGATATGTCTGATCTATAATTGGATACACAACTGCCAAGTTTTATGAATCTGACTTTATTATTTTTCCAAATATTTAAAATTAGCTTCTGGAATTGTATGGCAGGTACCCAAACCTGTCAAGCAATTCCACTACAACTTCAGAAATATATCTGATATATATCTTTATTATTTTGCCGAATATAAAAAATTTGCTTTTGAAGTTGTATGGCAGCCACTCGAACCGGTGCAGCTATCCCATTAAAATTTTTAAAGCATATGTAGAATATAATTGGACACATGTATACAAAATTTTATATTGATACCTTTATTAAGTTTTGAAATATTTAAAATAAACTCTTTGAGTTGTAGGGCAGCTACCCGAACCCGTTGTCCAAATTAGTCCAATTACAATAGAGCTTTTCCTTGGCACAAAAGAAACAAGTTGTGAAAGTTTGGTGTCGATTGCATTATTCGTTTTTGAGTTATCGTGCGATCGGACGGACGGACGGACGGACTACGTACGGACGGATATATGTCCATACCGTAGATGACTCCTTCATGTAGTTACAAACTCCATACCAAAGTTAATATACCCTTCACGAAGTGCAGGGTATAACGCGATAAGTAATCGGAATAATTTTCCTCACTCGAAAATTACATTATACAAGTACTATATGATAGTTACTCACTTTCTTCTCACTTTCAGAGTAAAATAGCGAGATAGACGATCAGGCCCTATATATTTGAAAATCAAAGTTCATAATTATGTTAAAAAAAAAAATTAAATTAAATTTTCAATGACGTATCATACGTTCTTTTTACATTTTTCTTTATAATTTGAATTTTACGTATTTTATAATTTGAATTTCATTTACTTTTTATTTGACCTTTTTTTCTGAATTTATTACTTACTCTGAAAATTACTACCGCTCCCGAGAAATATACACAATACGATAATGTTTTGTGATATGCCAACTGCGTAGCTGGCTTATTCAACTTGTTTGAAATATTTTAGTCTAGAAATTAAAGTAATTTAAAATATATTTTTTTTTATTTTTATTTATTTATTAATTTATTGCCAGGACGTATTTGATAATTTGTATAATTTTTAATCCCATAATTTTTATAATGCCAGGATTTGTATAATTTTTGTTTCTTAAGACTAAGATTTTTTATTAATTTCAATTTAAAGGAAAACGGCAAGAAAAAACCTTTTGAAAATTTTAAGATAAAATACTTAAAAAAAAAGACTTATACCCTACATTTTTCCTATATATAAAACCTAGATTATTTTTAAACTAAATTTTTAAAGTACTTATATTTATTAATTAACCCTATATTAGTCTAACATTACTATTCTACTAATTCTCTTATTAAAGAATAGCTAGAATTGTAACACGACTCCTGGAAGGTAGACATCATTTTATCAATTTGCTCGAAAACAGAATGTGTTTTGGCCATTTCGTGCAATCTTCGAGTCGAAAAATAAAAAGATTTATTTAGAATTAATTTCAAAATTTTATTTTGCTTCCTTTGAAGCAACATTAAATTCGTCTTCGTATCTGAACTCTGGAAGACCATACAAAACAATTCCCTGAAAAACCCCTTTAAATATTAATATTTCATTTTCTATACTCAGCAGAGATTTCCTATTAATAACTGGGTAAAGTATTTTTATAAACAGATCCAATTTGTTGACAGTCCTTGCGATATGTGATTTAAAAAGTAATTTTTTATCGAGATGAATCCCCAGATAAGTGATATGATCCCTTGTCCATTCCATCTGGTTTCCATCCAAGGTGAGAACACGGTTCGTTTCAAGGTTATTTATTATTTCAGTGGGATCTTGGAGGCTGTCAATAAAGTCGTATCATCCGCATAGAGTCCTAGTCTACAGTTTTGTGGCTTCGGCATGTCGGCTACAAAAATGTTGTAAAGTAATGGAGATAACACAGAACCCTGGGGCACTCCGGCGGTGATATTTGTTGTCTCAGACTTTGTAGCTCCAATTCTGACTGAAAAGGATCTATTAGATAAAAAACTCAATATTATTTTGACGATGTATGATGGAAATCCCATTACGAAGAGCTTATGTATTAAACAATCGTGCCATACAGAATCAAATGCCTTTTCGATGTCAAGTGTGATCATTCCAATTGAATTTTTCATTTCAAGCTCAGATTTTACAATGTTCTTAATCCTGCAAACTTGATGAGACGTTGAATGGTTTTTTCTAAATCCGAATTGTTCATTAGGCAGAAAATTCGATTGAATTACAATTTGCTCAAGACGCTGCTTAATGATTTTTTCAAAACTTTTTCCTATAGTATTCAAAAGACTAATTGGGCGATATCCTTCTACTTGGGTTTGATTCTTACCTTTCTTTGGGACACAGATTACTATGGCATCTTTTCATATTTTAGGGAAATATCCTAATTCCAGACAGCTATTAAAAATTTTTGTCAAAAATTTATAACTTGTCCTTGGCAAGTTCTTCAATATACTGTTTGGTATAGCGTCATTACCCGGTGCTTTTTTGATAATTTTGTAACTATATCTATAATTTTATTTATATAAATCAAAGAATAGTCCGTGATTGCCAGTGATCGTAATCTATCAACTGAATGTTGAACTGCATTCATTGTTAGAACATCGCCATAATTATCAGTCAGAGAACTTTGACTTGCAAAGAAATCTGCTAATGCATTAGCCTTTTCTAAATCGGTAGTTAAGGTAGAATTGTTATAGGAAATAGCTGGCATTCTAGTCTTTCTTTTTTTGAGTATTTTACACAAATTGTAAAAAGGTTTCGAAGCTCTGTCCAGTGAGGACAAATATTGATTCCATGCCCGATTTCTGGATTCTTTAATTTCCATCTTAACTATACGATCATAAAATTTGTATAGCATTTTATAACTGTAACACCTTGTTCTTTGCCAGCGTCGTCTTTCTGCATTTCTTAGGGATATTATGAGCTTAGTACGCTCTGACAGTCTCATCAAATAATCATGATCCGATCTAGTTTGCCGAGGAACAACTTTATCAATAGTGTCCCTCAACCATTCATGAAATATAACAACTGAATCCTCAATTTGTTCCTTGGTAATTGGTTTTGTCTCAAAATTTGTACCAGATATAGCCCAATTAAAAACCTTTCCAAATTGTTTCCAATTGCTTTTCAATAATTTGTGCTACTCGGTTAGCGGTAAATAATACAGGCAAATGGTCTGAATTTAGTTCATTGACGGTATAAGGAGCTGTAATATAATTAGGGATGTTACAAAGAATAAGATCCAGAGTTGATGGTTTCTGTCTTACCGACGTGGGCACATAAGTTGGAGTTGCAGGAAATAACAAGCTAAAATTGCTATTAAATAATTTCTCATTTAAAATTTTACCCGAAATATTATTCTTTACACAATACCATGTTACATGCCTGCAATCAAAGTCGCCCGCAATTATATAGTTGCCAGTTAATTTATTAAAAACTTCCAAATCTTTTTTGAAGTTGTTTAGTTTTTCTTTGTTACTATTACCACCTGGAAAATATGCACCTATAAAGTCAATATGCATTGTACCCGTATTTACCCTAACAGATATTGTTTCAAATATTTTTGTTCTAACCTGTGGCAAAATTTCATGTTTAATATATTTTCTTATCATTATGGCAACCCCTCCCGCTCTTCCAGAAGTTCTATTACAACAATACATATCATAAACAGAATCAACAACAATTGATTCTCTTAACCAAGTCTCTGTTATAATTACAACATCAGCATCATATTTTCTTAAAAAATTTAAAAATTCAATTTTTTTGTTGACAATGCTTCTAGCATTCCAACAAACTATTTTTAAGTTCTGAATATTATTTAACATTACTGAATAAATATTTCAAGGTTAGTTCTGTTAAAACATTAAATTGCTCTATTTTATTCTGACAATCTCTCAATCTAGTTAAAAGTTCTTGAGAGAGAGTCAATAAGTGTATGGGAGCTACTCAAACCTGCCAAGCAATTCCACTAAAACTTCAGAATATATCTGACCTATAACTCGACACACAACTGCCAAGTTTCATGAATCTGACTTTATTATTTTTCCAAATATTTAAAATTAGCTTCTGGAGTTGTATGGCAAGTACCCGAACCTGTCAAGCAATTCCTCTAAAACTTCAGAAATATATCTGACCAATAATTGGACACATGACTGCCAAGTTTCATGAATCTGACTTTATTATTTTTCCGAATATAAAAAATTTGCTGTTGGGTTGTATGGCAGCCACCCGAACCTTTGCAGCTACCCCATTATAATTTTTAGAGCATGTGTAGAATATAATTGGACACATGTATACAAATATTTATAGCTTTATTAGTTTTTGAAATATTTAAAATAAACTCTTTGAGTTGTATGTCAGCTACCCGAACCGGTTGTCCGAATTAGTCCAATAACAATAGGGCTCGTCCTTGGCACAAAAGAAAAAACTTGTGAAAGTTTGGTGTCGATTGCATTATTCGTTTTTGAGTTATCGTGCGATCGGACAGACGGACATGTCTAAATCGACGCAGAATTTTACGCTGAGCAAGAATATATATATATATGTCCATACCGCAGATGACTCCTTCAAGTAGTTACAAACTCCATAAAAATACTTTCAAATTCTTATACTGATAATGTTCTTATAAACCACCAAATGTATATACATATGTATGTATACAATAGTATGACAAATTCTAAGGAAGGGATGAATAACGACAATATATCATTAAAAAAAATTTCGAATTGTTGATAAACTTACGAAAAAAGAATAGTAATTAAATAAATATTTTAGTGTAACGTTACAAAAATATATAAAATAAAAATGAAAATAAATAAAATATTGCTCTACAATAATATGTTTATATGTAGTTCTACATTTATTGAAAATTATACATATTTTTCACTATCAAGGTTAAAATTCGAAATAATTTATAATTAAACATGCACATTTAATTATTTTTTTCTAGTGCTTACCTGAGCTTGTGTTAATTCTTCAAGTTCTTGTGCTAAACTATTTAACGTCCCGTTTAATAAATGTCGCCCCTCTTCCACACCTCTAGTGAATACTGCCGCTTGGAGTTCCTCATTTTGTTCTAATAAAACTAAATTATTGATTTGGTAATTAAAACATTATATATATTTTCAAAAACAAATAATTTAATTTAGTCTTTACTTTTATTTTGTTGACGTAATTCTTCAATTTCAAAATGTAGTTCTTCCAGTCTTATTGTTTCTGGAGATGTTGTTGGCAACGCTGGACCGTTTTCTGCTCTTATTCTTTCTAATTCATTGCTTAATTGGATCATTAAATCTTTTGATTCCTTTAATTCTAAATCATGTTTGCGTTCGCGAATTTGGGCTTCTTCAACTTCTTGTTCTAATGATGCTATATTATCACGCGCCAGTTCCATTTTTTCTTGGGTTGCATGTAGATCATTTGCTTGTTTATCACATAATACACGTAGGCGTTGTGTTTCATCTCTTAACGAATTCGCTTCAATTTCAATTGTACGAATTTTTATTTGGTAATTTTCGTTTTGTAGAGAAGCTTCACGTTCAACACGAGCCAGTAACTCTCGATGACGTTTTTGCTCTTCAGACAAACGTTCTTCAGCTCTCAATTCAGCCTAAAATATTTCAATATTTTAATCATTTAATAAATAATTAGAGTAAAAATTTTTTAATTTGCTAAGTATAAAAGTACACCAATGAGTGTCTTAGAAAAATATTAAAAATTCATCAAGAGATATAAGGATTGTAAGGAAAACTGCAAAAAAATTTCTATATGCCTATGTTTTTATGCCCTGCACCTTCGTGAAGGCTACATTCACTTTGGTATGGAGTTTATAGCCCCTTGAAGAAATCGTCTCCGGTATGGACATGTATATATTCTTGTTAAATGTAAAACTCTGGGTTAATTCAAAGAGGTTTTTTTAAATATTTCAAAAACTCTTAGATCTAATTTCCAAAGTTGTTTATTTTCAAATGTTTGTAGTTCATGAATCTAGCTTTAATATTTTTCCAAATCTTAAAAATTTTCTTTTGAAGTTGTGTGGCAATTTCCCGAACAACTAAAACTTCAGGGATATGTATGATCTATAATAGGAATAGTCTTATGAGTCTAATCTTATTTTTTTCTTCGAATATTTAAATAGCTTTTGCGGTTGTTTGAGAGTTTTCCGTATCTGTCAAGACATTCCAAAACAAACTTCGAAAATATGTGTGTCCTAAAATAGGATACATGACTTCCAAGTCTCATGAATTTACCTTTATTATATTTCCGAATATACAAAATTAGCTTTGGAATTATATGGCAGCTACCTGAACCAGCGCAGCCATTCCGTTAAAATTTTTAGAGCACAATATGTAGAATTTAATTGGACACACGAGTTATGTATACTGCTCATTCAAAATTAAAGGTTAAAAATTCTAAAGAATATCTTTTTAAAAAACTCGTTTCCTACGAATTTTTAAATGAAAGAAATTCAATCTATAATATAAGTGGTTAATAACAGTGTTAATTGTTAACAATTATTGACCAATGTTAATAACAGCAACAAATGCAATAGCAAAATGGTTTATAATATTATAAACCATATGAAGTTGAATATGGAAACATTTTTGTAAGAAATGGGATCTTTTCCATAAAGGAAAAGATCAGAATAGTTTAAAAACAGAAAAAATTTTTTAAGATTTTTTCAAAAAATTTTTGAAAGAAAGGGATTGTCAGTTTCACTCTGTCCGTTCGTCTTTCTGTCCGTGTGTGTTTTTACACCCTTGAAGCTAGAAAGCTTAAATTTTTTATGCACACAGATTTCTACTAGAAACTTATTTCCGTAGAAGAAATTCTTTAAGTTATACCATAAGCATTTTTAAGAACCATAAGCATTTTTCAAATTTTGCAAACGCAGAAATATAGAAGATGGCCATGTCATTAAATAGTACAACATGCCATTAAATAATATAATAGTTTTTCTTAATTCACGCAATTAATCATTAAAATCGAGTATTATATCAACCCCTCTTAAAATATATATTTTTGCTTAATTTCAAAGACTGCATAAATCGTTCATCCTTAATATATGCAATATGAATGAAAATAATTTTAATATTGTAGTATTTTCACTTGTTGGAGGGAAAAGTGCTACAATACAAACCATTGGCTTGACTCAACTTTATTTTAGTCTTACTTTGAGAGTGAAACAGATGACATGAAAATTTAGTATAAGATTTTTAGATTTTAAAATAAAAGTCTTTATTGTTCTTTTATTTTAAAATATAAGTATGTTGTGCTATATTTTAATGAAAATAAACAAATTCAATAAACCACGACAAATTTTTTAAATGAAACAATCCAAACGCAATAATGGAAATATTATTAATAAAATTAATGTACAAATTATTGTTACTAATGTTACAAAAAATTATTGTTACAAATTAAAATTAACTTTGAAAAAAATTAATGTTCGCTTACAAGCAGTTTTGGTTTGAACTACCAATTAATAAACTCAAACATTTGAAACACAAAAGCATAAAAAATAAAGTTGGGTCAAAGGAATGGTTTGTATTGTAACACTTTTTCCTTCAACCTATGAAAATACTGCTTTGAAAAACAATCTATGTACCTACCACACTATTAAAATTATTTTCTTTCATATATGAAACTATTTCTAGGATTGTATATATTTAGGATGAACGATTTACCCAGTCTTTGAAGTAAAGCAAAAATTAATTTGAAAGGGGCTCAACATAATGCTCGATTTTAAGAGTTAGTTGCGTGAGTTAAGAAAAATAATTATATTTAAAAAGCGTTTATAGAAATTTAAAAAAGCTTACGGTTTCGGAAATATGAGGCATCAAAAATTCAAATTTTACAAATTTCAAGAGACGATAACTTGAGAGGGCCTGGAGATGGAAAAAAATTTTCTCCTAACGAAATGAACTATTTGTTAGTGCCTAAAAGCTGTTAAAATTTCAGGCGCCCACAACATGGGGTCTAGAAGAAAACCAACATCAAAAATTTGAAAAAAAAAGGGATTTTATGTAACGGTAAATTTTAACCGCCATTTTGTTTTTTTTAAGTTTAAGTATAGTATGCCGTGATAGAAGAAGTAACCCACTGCTTATCTGCGTTTGTAAAATTTGAAAAATGCATATGGTTCTACTACAATAAGTAGTTGAAAAAAGGCATTTTTAGGGTTTTGGGGGGGTATAACTTTTAGAGGGGAAGAGATATGTAAAAATTATGTTCTACGGAAATTAGTTTCCAGTAAAGATCTATGTATGGAAGATATATGTAAACAGACACACGGACAGACGGACGGACGGGCGGTCGGAAAAGTGCTAAAAAGAAAATAATAAAAACATATTTAAACTATAAGTGAAAAATATTTAGAAAAAACTTAAAAACAATTTTGAAACTATTATCAAAAAAAAAAATCCAAGTCTGCGTCATCTCTCAAAAAGTTCAAGATAAAGTGGGAAATCCAGAACCACAAATTAATATAAAAAATCTGATGTGGTCAGCACATAACCGACCGCAATGTGTATTGTCTAGTTAAGTGAAAGTGTTACAGAATATTATAAAAATGTCTGTTAAATACTTCTTTCCAATATTTAGTACATTAGTAAGCTTATAGTCAACATAACTAGAAAAATGTATATTTGGCTCTTAGTAGAGTTTCCCTTTGGGCTACCCGAATTTCCTGAAATGCTCGCCAGTTAGTTTCGGTAACAACCAGAACTCGAATATAAAATTTCAAGAAATTCAATCAATTCGTTCTGTAGATATGGTGAAAAAGTAAAATCGGCCCGCAGATCAGTTTTCGAGCCCTAATCTTCCCAAAAAATTTATATGTTCATTGTTTTAATACTAAGAATTTAAATATTAAATTTCAATGAAATCGGTTCATTATTTCTCTTTATATACACAAAAATGTATATTTAAATGAAATGCCTGTAGTAAACCTCCAGTTTCTGACGCCTGATTTTTTCCAAAAGTTAAGAGGTTGCGCGGACGGTCGAGCTGAGCTTACATATAAAATTTCAAGTAAATCGGTTGAATATTTGCTTCAAAATGTTCAAAAATGTAAAACTGGCCCGCTAAAAAGTGCAGTTCCCGAATGGTGGAAATAAACTTGTATACAAAATTTCATCAAAATCGGTTCAGCCGAACTTGAGATACACGCGTGCACACACAGACCGACAGACCGACGGACCGACAGGTTGCTAAAAATAGTTTACTTACACTTTCCTACTCTCCATAGTTTTCGGTGGGAATAGTGCATTCCCACCGAAAACTCGATATGCAAAATTTGTTGCCATCACATATCCTACCTATTGTTTACACAATACGATCGGTAAAAAACAACAACTTCAGCAATTTTCTTCAGCTTTGCAACAACAGCAAAGCATTGTTGTCCAACAACTAAAGATATTACTCAAGGTAAAAAAGAAATAAAATATACAGAATTGTTCTCAAATATAGGAAACTGAACGAAGTGACAGTCGACGATAAGTTTTCTTTACCAAATATTGACTCAATATTGGAAAAGTTCGGTAAAGCAAAAATCAACAAGATGATAGCATGCTTGATGCTTAAAGAATGCTCCTGCAACTTTCAGAGATTGAGGAATGAAATTTTAAGAGACCACATACATACCATTTATATTATATATAAATGGTATTTTATAAGCAATATCACAACTTTTTAACTAAAATAATTTTTTTTTCTTCTTCACTCTTAAAGAGCAGCATTGGGCTACTGCATGACATCATGCTCTAGTTTAATAGCGTCATAGAGTTTACTAGATATGTGACCAGCGTTAATAAATGTGACTAGTAAAGTTCATTAATATTTACTGTTTATTTTTTCTTAGTTATTAATATCGAATATTGTGAATATTTGAAAATTACTTGTATAATATTTATTAGTATTGTATATTAAGTTATGTTATATTTAGTTATGTTATATTGTGCCAGTGGTTAGGTAACTAAAGTAATAGAGAATCTGAATTTACTGGTTTTAAGATTTCCAAATTTTTAAAAACCTTTTGTTTAACTACTGACACGTTCAATTAATCCTCTACTAACACAGAAGGGACACCCAATTTGCTTTGCATCGAGAACATTAAATAATCATAAAGAGAACTATTCGGCGACTGATAAAGAATTTTTGCCCATAATAGTGGGCCATTACTTAATTTAGGCCTTCTTTTAGCGGAAAAAAATTCAGAATTTTTACAGACCATCAGCCGATTAGGTGTTTGTTTGCAAATCATTATGGTAAAAGCTTGTCACCAAGACAACAAAAATGGCTACTGAAACTGCATGAATATCAATTTGAGATTGATTATATGAAAGGAAAAAAAAATGGCCGATTTTCTGAGTAGAATAGTAAACGATAATACGCCAAATGGTAAGACAATTGAAGAGCAAAACAAGTAAAAACGTTTCAGTCGGTATAAACCGATTGAATTATACCCTGCACCTTTCGTTATTGTGTAGCAATTACTCGAACCTGTGAGATCATTCTATAGAAACTTCACGGACATGTCTGACCTAAAATTGGACATCCGACTGCCAAGTTTCATCAATCTGACCTTATAATTTTTCAAAATATTTAAAA